CCCCATCACCACATTTGCTCACACTCCATTGCCTTTGGCTCTGATAACTGAACCCTCTGTCTTATTGATTGGTGTGATCTCATCCTCTGAACAATTCTCTCTCGCCCCCCCCCCAACCTGCCCACATCTTCACAGCCATCTACGAGAAGTCTGCTGGAGAGACTGAGGCCATCGCCTTTGACGGGCGGACGTTCATTGAGTACCACAACGCCGTTACAAGGAGGTAAGGAAGAGGACAAGGGGAACATCCTCATATATTCAGCTTCACCCTACATCTCCATTGTAATAGCTATTAGCCAAATAACCTCTCTGTCTATCCATCTCCTCCCTTGGTAAGCCGTGATAACAATGTTGATGATATCATCAGAGCTAGGGCTTCAGGGTGAACTAGGCACTTGGCTAATAGCTCACCCCCCCCCGTCCATGGCGGTCCTGTTCCGCTTTTGACAGGATTTCACTAATTAGCGAGACGGTTAACAATCACAGTGTTGCCCTGAGCACGCTCAGTTTACTCTGTGGTCTGCCGCTTAGAACAGACTGGACAATAAGCACACATGCACGATTCAACTTTTTATCCTTATTTTGAATGTGTGTAAAACTGACATGTCACCTGCAATTTCTTATACACCCGGAAAGGGAATAAGCTGATGACGCGAGTGTAAAGCGGTTTCTTTACACTGGTGCAGGTGTAAAAAAACAAGACAAGAAATCCTGTCCCTTCAGGCAGCTGATGAGACAGTTTTACTCTTCCATCCATCTACAAGGTTGGCAAGAGTGCGCCTCCAGGTTGGCACAAACAAAAATGTTTATGTGATGAACCTGAAAAGACATCAAGCATACGGCTGTATATCTTCGACTCACAGCTCTTCACACAAACACAGAGGTGTGAAAACCGGGCCACAGTCTGCAGATCATCACACTCCCATGGAGAAACACAACTCACACTCACTCAAAAACAACTGGCTGGAGAACTCTGTCGGATATATATGTGTGTGTGTGTGTCCTATGTGTATCTTTGCTGTTTGTCCCCAGTCTAAGCGGCCCAGTCGCGTGACTCTTTGTCCCGTCCCTCAGTCTGACCACCCTTTGTCGTTGTCCGCACATGTCTTGTCTCATATAAATGTCCTTCACTGTCTTTCCTTTTCACTCAAGCCAACTGACCAATGAGATCCCAGAGTAAGTAGACTTTACGACTGGGTAGCTGCCCAGCTTTGAATCAAGCCCAACTAACAGCAACCAAAAAAAGCCATTTTTGATAGTTAACCCAATTGAAGAGATTAAAGCACATTCAGTTTCCTGTCATGATTTCCACACAGAAATCATATTTGCTGTTTAAGTCCGATTTTACATCCATGCTCCATATCCATGATTTAATTTGACAGATTTCATTATTTTAAATACATTTTGCAACATCATTAGATCCTTTCTTTTTTTCCAGTACAAAAGGGAAGCATGAATGTGTGCATGATAAGCATTGTGCTCAACCCTCAGAGAAAATGAATTGCTGTACTAAGAATGTGCAATATTTTATGCATGGTTGTAACTCGTTCCCAAACAAAAGAAATGCCACGCACTTTACGCTGAATGGCATTATTGCTATGAAATGAATGAGACCCCTTGAAAATTGCAAGAGGAGGATACACTAAATACCCCATAACCTAGTTTCTGGTGCCTGCAGAGTTTCTGCTTGGGAAAGCCCTCAGTCATGACTTAGTTATTAAGGGTTTTCTTCCTGCTCATTAGCTTGGTAAGTAACCTCTTTTTTTAAAAATCCCACAAAGCAGCGAAGCAGAATTCAGCTCAAATTAAGCCGACTGGATTCAACCCAGAGTTTCAATCCATGCCAGGGCTTCTGTCATTTCGTTTTTTGCCAGATCTCTAACTGTAATTGTGAATAATTACGGAGTCGGCCGTACAGAGAGGCACTGACATGTTAATCACAGATTTGTCTCCCTTTGTAGATTAGACCTCCAATTGAGATCTCTCCACAGTGTGTAGCCATGGGCATCAGTCTCACTTAGCAGGAGGGGACAGTGGTCCTTGGAGCCAGACTGTCAAAAGTTTAATGGATGTCACATTTACTAAGAGCCACAATGAGCGTGAATCTAAGCAAACCAGAGCCCTGGCACAGCACTCTTGAGGCAGGCCGATCAATTCAGCGTGATTTGATTTTTTTAAAAAGAAATGAATGCATTTCTCGAGAGGCCATTAAGAGCCAAGTGAGGCCAAAATGTCAAGCGCTCACCTTGGGTTAATGTTTCTGTTACTATTTACAGCACCCTTTGATCGCTCCTCCTTCACCTCTCCACCCGTATCTGAAAGCTGCGGTCGATTTGCTCAAACCCCATTATTTCAGTGACAAATCATATCTGGCCGTGGCTCTCAACTGATATGGCGCTTGACCCCATTTTTTGACAATTGCCCAATTTTTCTCATTCACCGCTTCCATTGCCAGACAGAAGATAATTATGGCGCTGCACTGTGGCGTGCAGCGCCATAAATATAAAGGAGTTATTCAATAATTGGACGCTGACTTAAAGTAGCCTCTTGTGCTGGTGTGGACACTGACCATGAATGTACTTAATCTTGATGCTCACGTTTAAAAAATGCTTCATCCCAGGGCATTTTGGTGCATTAGTCATCCATCTTGATCCGACTAGTTCCCTTGAGAACCTCCTTTTATGGTTGCGGTGTGATCAGGGCTAAGCTACACACTTCGTATGATCACAGTTGTTATCGACTGTTGACATGGTCGATATTGTAGTAGAGCAGATAAGTTATGCTTTTTGCAGCTCTGGGTCTAAACCAGACTTCTGTGAGTCACCCAGTGGGCTCACAACACCCTTCCCCTCCTCCTCCCCTCCTCCCCTCCTTCCCTCCTTCCTTCTTTCCTTCTGGCCTCTTGCGCTTACACTGCATGCCGTTGACTTTCTCCCCTGCTCCCTTAAGTCCTGAGTCTCTGGAGAACCCATCTGACCAGAGGTGAGTCTCTCAAAAGCTTTTAGACTTTGGTGCTGTCCACTCGCCTCTCACTTCTCGCCTCTCGCCTCTCGCCTCCTCATCCAACCCCACCTCTCCAGACAACCCCTCCCCGACCTCTCACAGAGCTAAACCCTCCTCCGCAGAGACAACATTGTTTCCATTATTGAGATAGAGTTACCAATACGAATCACAAAGAGCCTCTGCATAGGCTTCAATTAATTCTGAAGTTCAGAGCTCTGATAACAGCACAAAACCAGCCAGAGCTGCAGCCTCTTTGCAGTAACTGTCCTTCCTGATGGCTTTTTATTATTCTAACCACTACTGCCACCTGGAGTTTAAATAGAGGACAGCACTCTGAGAAGCCTCCTGAGAATTTGAATGCATATAAGGAGTAGATAAAATCCCTCCATTTACAAAAAGAAACACTCCAGAAATCTATGAAGTCAGTGTTGTATATGAGATTTAGAACTCAGTGCGCCGGCGTTGTTTTATTCATGATATATTCAGCACTTTTAATAACCTTGACCTTATCACTGACAAGCCGCTCCGATGGAGATTTATTGGGCCCTGTAAGCTCTTTGAGGGTTTGCCAGGAGAGAGGGTTCACTGAGCTGTATTTGTGTTCTTTTTTTCTCTCTCTCTGAAGAAAAAAAAGAAAGACATGATGCTCTTAAATCATATTTTTTTATTTTGTTTCTGTTTACCTCAGCAGATTTAGTTAATCAAGGGGGTCAAAGTTTCCAAACCTAAGCATGTTTTTGAAGGAGAAAATCAAATTTGATTATGGATTCTTTCCCCACTTCTACTGAGGTGAACCAGCATTATTGTTGGCCTGAGCTGTCAATGTTGCCATACCGCAGGCCAGCAGTTAATAAACTGAAGTTAAATATCATCCCATTGCTTCCATACCCGATGCTCTTTCTACTCTTGCTCATTAATGACAGGAAGATCCCCTGTCTATTTCCTGTCCTGCTTGTTCTCCCATGAGCCTCTCTGCTTGCTATGCTGACTCCTTTGTCTTGTTGTCTGTCTTGTTTAATCTTTGTCTCCAGCTATGTGCTGCTGTTGTTGTTTTTTTTAATCCACGTGTCATTGGTTCTTTGTCGTACGTGTCCTCACCTTGTCTTTGTCTTTGTCTTGAAATACCGTTTTGAAGAAGATGGAAGTAGATCCATTTGCAGCTGTGCGGACATTTGCACAGATGCTGACTGACACACAATCGTACACAGACACACGCAAATTAAAGGCATGATTCTCTGGATGTCTGCTGTATCTTCGCTGGACTCACAAAGAACAGAGGGACTTTACAGAGTGTGTTTGTATGCGGGAATGGATGTGTGATGGTGTGTGTGTGTGTGTGCGCGCACATACAGTAAAGGCACATCACAGTGTTTATTTTTCTCACATCGGTGACAGTGACGTACAGTGCCTCTTAAGGATAGGTGGAAGTCGCCTCGTCTCTGCATCCAAATCACCCCTGCTGTAGCAGTCAAGAGACTGGAGATCAAACAGCTGCCTAAAACACACACACATGCACACACACAGAGCAACACAGGAAGCACTGAGCAGCAAAGCAGTTCAGGCTCAGTAGGAAGTAGGAAAGCTAATAGCAAAACAGCCCCCTGCTACTCCTAAACTCAGTCTGCATCCTTAAAAATCACTGTAACTCTGTTAGGATGGGGCAATAGAGTCTGAGGTGCAAAGATTTCTGGCTACATGTGCTAGCACACAGAACCATATGTCATGGCTTGAATTATGGGTAATGTACGCTTGAGACAACAGCAAGTCCCTTGCTTCACATATGCAACTACAAATGGCACAAATGACATCTGAGCTGCGTCAGCTCCACCAAAGATTAGAACTCATTTTGATGAATTAGACCGAAAGCTAACGATGTTATTTCTGTTCTCCTAGTGAGAAGGCTCTGCTGGTGAACAAGTTTGAGCTGAGCATCCGGACGGAGGCAACCCAGGGCCTGGTGCTGTGGAGTGGGAAGGGTGTGGAGCGCTCTGACTACATTGCCCTGGCCATCGTGGACGGACATGTCCAGATGACGTACGACTTGGGCTCCAAGCCCGTGGTGCTGCGCTCCTCGGTGCGTGTCGACACCAACCGCTGGATACGCATCAAGGCCAGCAGGTAAGATGGGAGATGGCAGGTAGCTGGGGATCAGGAGCAAAAGCTTTTTACAGTGAGACCAGGATTAAACTTAATCCATATTGTATTTGTGTTGCTGCAAACTGTGTGATCTCTTGCATGAATCCTCTGCTACACGGTGATCCCTTGCACTAAGATGACTCTGATTAGTTTCAGATTAAGGTTACTTTCATGCCTGGTCATGCATGAGTATGAAGCACTGCACATCGAATTGCTTAGACACATTACTGAATGTTCAAAAAGGAAGAACATGTGGCAACATCCAAACACATGTTGGCACACTATAGGAAATCTATCCAGGAAATAAATGAATAAAATAAATGAAAATTCATGATAGTATTTATATGAACACATATACACTGTGTACATGAGGTATACTAATTAAATACATTGATCCTATTTAAAGTTAGTCAGTATTCCTATGCTGGCTTCAGGCTTGTTGTGTGGTAATTTGATTAAACACAATAACTAAACTTTTAGATAATGCTTCTCTCATCATGTCAGTTGACAAACCAGTTGCCACACAGTACATTTCTGGGGCCACACTTTCTTCTATTGGTTATTCAGTCTTGTAGACATTTTGTACATACTTGAACACCTAGAGTATGTTTTTATAGTATATACATAAATAAATAACCCATAAATTACACACAGTAACACAGGTTTTAGCTACGGGTTAATTATAAGCTATGAGTTATTAGTACGAGTTAGTACATTATTCCAGATGTAGGGAAAAAAACAAATCATATATTTTTTGCCACACAGTGATGTCACATAATGGATTCCTAAATCAGAAACAAATTAACTCCTGAACTTGGAAAATTACCCACTTAACACCTTCCATGCGATCTATGCATTATCACTGCTGAACATTTGCTTTCAACATGGCTGCATATGGAAGTATGGGGGATAAATGGATCGGTTTCATCATGTAGGGCAGGAATAATCGATCCTCGAAAAGCCGCTGCATCTATTTCAGACAGAGATTTGGCCAAATCTCATCCCAAGCTTACACAGAGTTTCTGGAAGATGACATAATTTGGATGGTGATGATGGTGCACATCACAGCATGTGGCGTACAGCTCTCATAGTTACACAGCTATCTGTGTTTGCGGCTTGCCTTTAATGAAGCTCTCTCAGTTGGAAACCCACTTTTGTGGGTTCAAATTATCCCCGTCGTCACAATTCTTAAGTGTGTGTGCTAATGCGTAGCGCTGAGCCACCTATAATGAATGTTGCTCTAGCGGCATCTGTTAGCTGGTAGGCAGGCACATTTAGAACGCTGCTTGGCAAAAGCAGTTATGTGAGTGCTTAGTGTGCTGGCAGTGGAGCAATGGAGTCTTGATGCTTTAGATTAAATGAAACTGCTATTTACAGCTATTCAGTATGACATGCATGCATGAGACAGACTTCCAACTGCATCTCTCTCTTTTTCTTTCTGCTCCTCAGAGCACTTAGAGACGGCTCTCTACAGGTTGGCAATGAGGCAGCAGTAACAGGGTCATCGCCTTTGGCAGCAACACAGCTGGACACAGACGGAGCGCTCTGGTTGGGTAGGTGCCCACACATGTAAAAGAGAAAAAAAATGTCATTCAGAATTGAAAATGTATCTACAATTGCCATTAATCAAATCAGGGGAATACTTGTAATTCTGTCGTACCTTTTCATCTTAGCCACTGGTAGAAGGCTGCCAAAAATGAGCAATGAACTCATTGGCATTGCAGAGGATAAGCAAAGTCTCTGGCAGGCAAAAAAGATTGCGATTTGGGCAAAAAAAAAAAAAAATGTCCAAACCTATTCAGGTATTGAGTTGAGAAATGAAAGGCTATCTGACAAATTCAAAAGTCGTCTGCTCTCCTGAATTGAAAATGACCAAAGTCGGCCCGTTATCTACCTCGAGTTCAATTTGGTCTGAACTTGACTCAGAGAAATCGCTTTTGAAAGAACACACACGGCACGGCGGGATTGAACATTCTGAGGAAATAACATTGAAGACGGGCGGCGGAATAAAGTCAGGCCGGTCTTTAAAATGCACAGCGCAAGGCGGGTGAAGAGGCAGGTTTGAGAGGAGAAGCAGCATGAGTGACATTTAAGAGACACGCTGCATGTAGAGGTGCGCTCGCATACTCAGATACACATATACAAACACACACACAGGGAGGCAGTGCTCTGGAACAGGTGCTGAGCGAGCCCTGCAGCAAGAATACATAATCCTCAAACAGCCCTCCCAGCGAGGGCCCTTCTCCTTTTTAAATCCCCTTTTCACTGTTCATCATTAATTCATCTGTAACTCGCATGAAATTAGCCCTGTCGATCCGCAATTCGGAGGCCCCAATCCGATTAAAGGGGGCAGGGACAGGGGATGTAAAGAGCTAGACGGGGATATGAACTCTCAGCACGACAGATCAAAAAAGAGAGGAAAGAGAAAGAGAGATGGGGAGTGTAAGGGGGAAAAGAGGTTGGATTAACACGAAGTGAAGAAAGACAGAGGATGCAGGAGGATTCTGACTGGAGATAACATGAGAGGGAGAAGGAGAGAGAGAGCAGGGATGGCGGCCAGGTAAAGCATGAAAAACTAGGGTCAGCCTCTCTCCCGGTAAGTAACAGATCTCATGAAATTCTGAATAAAGATGTTTCACGCTGATTTATTGAGAAAGACACTAATGACTACTTTGGGTGCGCTGGCTCAAAAGAGTAGCTCAAAACACCATCAAAAGGAAAAAGAAGCCAGCCACACACCCGGCAATTAGGTCATCAAGTCTCCACAAAAGGACGTTATGGGAAAAAAAGAAAATGATTTGAAATAGAAGAAAAAGTGCAGTATAGTTAAAGCGAAATGGAGAGTACAAGGGGCTGAAACATTTGCTTTGAAGTACAAATCCATGATATATTAAGAAATGTCTATTTTTAAACTTTCTATGACTGATAGAAAAAACACTTCCGAGAGTCAATTTACAAGTGCTTTAATGGGTCATTTTTGCCAAATAATAAAAGTTTTTCCACTTTAATCTATCTAGCTGTGCAGGTGTGGCTTCTACCCTTCTACAGTGGAGGTGCATAGTTGGGTGAATTGGCCCTTTAACGTTGTATAATATTGCGAACGTTATTTGATCTGCAGATCAGACTCAGGCAACATGGATAAACAGAAAAGTGCAGCACCTATAAGAGCTCAAAGTTTAAGAAAAAGCTGCCACAGTTTTGAATGCACTACTTGATGGACAGGAATGTCTGGGGAGCTCTCAGCACAGCAATGAGTGCTTAGCACTAAAAATAATGAAGATATTAGGTATTCATAATTTTACACTCTGTCACCACCTTTCATTTGTAGCGCATTTTTGAGCACTTTACACACCATGTCAAATTAGAAGAACCTTCCCTCTTGTCTATCTTAACGTTCTCTGGCTGGTATGCAGGCTTTCTGCCGTTCTCCTTTTGATCATGGTGGTTTAACAAATAAAGTGTCAACCTGTCATGTTCATCAGATGGTGTCATCATGCAAAAAAATCAAAGACGACGCCTGACAAAGACAAAGTAACTGCTTCAGTACCAGAAATACATTTCTCTACAAAATATTTCCGGTACAGGTGGTTGATGGCCTTTGCAAGGTCTAATTTGTTACCAAATGCAAACCTTTATTCAGGTTTTTGATCTTTAAAGGGGCACTCCACACATTCTACAAATGGAAATCTGTGAAACATGTGATAACAGGTGTGTAATGTCTTGTTAAGCTGCAGAGGAGCTGAAAAAGGTTAGGTGATATCTTGGCAGGAGGCTACAAAATTACAAATTTGGCCTAATGCAACAATGCTATTGGCTGTATTATGGGAAATGTAGGAACTAACTTTTTGGGTGCTGCCTTAGTGTGCAGAATGGTTCAGCTTGCATCAGTTTGGACTAATTCTCTGATATGAGTCTTGTTTTTATGTACAGTACCTGATACATCATCTCAACCTCTGTCTCCCCTCAGGTGGTCTGGAGGAGCTGGCGGTGGCCCGTCGGTTGCCCAAGGCCTACAGCACCGGCTTTGTTGGCTGCGTCAAGGATGTGGTGGTGGACGGCGTGGAGCTCCACCTGGTGGAGGACGCCTTAAACAGCCCCCAAATATTACACTGTTCCGCCGCCAAATAACTCGGCAGAGACAAAATGTTGAGAAAAAAGGAAAAAAGAAACCCTCCCACCCACTCCCTCCATAGCGCCCATGTCTCCTGCTGTAATTATTTTCTATTTTTGTATACTTTTCATCGCTTTTTATATGGAAAGAAAATTAATATGTCGTTTTAATTTTTGTTTTATATATTTTGTTCTTTTTTTTAAATCTGCACCTCTGTTCACAGAACACACTTTTTCTTTTTCTTTTCTGCTCCGGCCCTTCATCTTTTTCAAAAAGCAGGCGTCTCTGTGAAAAAGAGATACTTTATCCTCGTCAGTTTTGTTGTTTTAAAACAAACGGCAACTTAAAAAAAAAAAAAAGCCTGCTCCTTTTCCTCGCTCATTACTTGAACACTGGTGGACCTCGCTGATGATCTCTGGTTACTGCCTTGTCTTGGTGCCATATCTATCGTCCACATTCCCCAAGCATGGCCTATACATCCATGAATATATAGACGTACATTCCCCCTTGAGAGCTGGACACAGTGTGTGCTGCAGCCTGTGTGTGCGCTTCTTTGACGCTGCAGCCAGCTGGCGTCTCCAGTCAAGGAACTCTGTATTCAGCCCCGGTAGCCAACTGTATTTTCCTAATGGGACTTTTCAGATATCAGTCAAGCTGCTACAGTGAGAAAGTACACAGTCGAAACCACTCGATCAACCCCCATCTCACAGCGCCAAAAAAAGAAAGAAAAAACTCTCCACTCAATCTGAATCCCATCAGAGCCTTTAGTTTTGAAATATGACTCACTAACACTGCAACCCGACATGACGGAGACGGAGAGAGCGCTGTGTTCCACAATGACTTGCATATCATTAGTCATAAGTCAAGAAATGAATCATAGACATGAATAAATGTTATAAATATAGAGTATATAAATAATACCTGAGACTGTGAATATGTAAGATGGGTTCTCTTTGGAGAATTGTGCTTCTCATGTACTATTGTGCGTTCTGTTTTACAATCAGCAGATGAACTAATGATGACCACTATAAATGCATGCACTTCTGCAGTGTTGGTTTGAATCTGGTTTTTGTTTTTTTGTTTTTTTGTTTTTATTCACGTTTTGTTCCACAAAAAAAAAAACTTTTTAATTTGGAAAATGTCACTGTTTGGGGGTTTGTTTGTTTTTGACTATAAAAAGGTTACTTTTTTTCTCTTATTTCCACTGATGTGATTTCAGAAACTACAGAGCTCAGAATAATGTTTTATATTTGTTCATTCCCTGTGTCTTATTTTTTGGTCTTTTTTATTTTTCTTGGAAGCTGTTAGTTTTGCAGGACCTTGAATGGTGCATAACGGGGAAGAGTTGTTACCATATCTGACCTTAAGGAGGCGCTGAAAGCAAAGACTGAAGAAAAGGACAGACATAAAGGAGGACAGATCTTATCATGGGGGGAGCTACTACTCTTGGGAATGTCCTGTCAGACAACAGTCAGTCGTCAACACAAACAAAAAAGCTTAAAAACAACAACAACTGAGACTTAATTTCTTTTTTCGTATTTGACCAAGGAGCATTCCCGGAGGAGTCTCTATTCGGCTGTTGAGTGAGAGAGAGAGAGAGACTGTGATGTTGTTGTGACCTTTTGAAGCCATAACAGCCGCAAAAATGGGAAAAGATGCATAATCCTACAGTACTTGCAAATTAACATAGTGACGCATGGGTTTGTATTACTAGTGCGAATTCTGTAACATTCAGTGAACTGATGCAACGTGGAGTCGTCCTTGCTGAACCACAATAAGCTGCGATGACTGACTTAAAGACACTTGTTTTGATATGAGAACCTTGGCAATATTCTGAGACAAAATCATGCTTGTTCGTGGTTGAGTATCAAATGGTCTTGTACTATTTTTTTTTTCTTCTTCCTTTAATTATGTTTTCCTTCTTAAATCATCAACAACCTGTTTTTGTACAGCCCTGCAATTTTTAAGTGTAAATTTAGCAAATGTGTGATCTGTGGAGGTTTATGTTTTTAGTAATATACACTGGAACCATGTCTGACTTGTCTGTTCGCCCACACGATTATATACTTATGTACATGGGGGAGGGAGAGCCCTGAAACTATAACTGCGTTGTTGGGTGTGATCAAGCTCTTGAGTGTCTACACCAGACCAGGAAACTCTTTTCTGGTGTCCCAATACACGTTTAAAATTCCAGCACCAACTCTAACTATAGACTTGTATTACTTTTACCCCACTGTTCTTTGAATTTGATCCATTCAGGTGGTAACGCTCAATAAAGGAGGGATTCCTGTGTATTTGGATGGACTTGAGAACAATAAATACAGCTGCAGTCTATGGTTTGGGTGGAAACTATGAATTGCCTTAAAAACTGGTCACCTCCACTCTGAGCAGGTGACAAATACGTCATCCATATAACCGTTTCCTTACTTTAACCAGTGTATTAGCCTCATCCCCATGATGTAAATGAGTAATACATAATAATAATTATATTAGTAATAATGCTCATACACAAAAGAAAATCCCAGGGGGCCTCTGCAAATGTCCCCTGTGGCTTTTTACAAAAAATCTTCTATTTACTGTTTTTTGAATCTATTTTCTGTTCCTTATTTATGTCTACATGTGGATTACCCTCCATGTCTGGCCTCTGTAAACTACTGTCTGACTGCGCAAACCTCCTCAAAGGGCAGTGCACCAAGTGAGAGTGGCATGACCTGAACATTACTAACTTTATGACCTTTGTCTTGTGTTCCTACCACCATGAAATAAAATGTCAACCAAATGGAGCCCATTCTTGTCAGCCGTCTTGATTTTGTCATCACATGGAGTTGAATTGCATTTCGACAACCCTTTAATAGGTAAAACTGGTATTATTCTATGTTTTCTGCATTGTCAACAAATCCTGTGAACAGATCAAAACCAACAATGCGTTAGTCCGTCCTTCAACCCTTTCTAAGTTCCCTTCCCTGTCTGTGGCTCTGATTGTTCTTACTAAAGGCTCAGTCATTTTTAGCAAATATTACTCTAACTAAATAGTGCATTTGTTGGAAATTATTTACACGTTTGATGCTCAAGTATTTATCCCACCAGGATGGTGTATGCAGTATTGACTCAAAATAAACTACAGTGCCCATGTTGAGCATGAAAGATTATTCTTAATGTTGGAAAATGTAGTAAAAATCTTAACTCATGTTCCACTTACTAGCTTTTTCCAAAGCTTGCACCCTTATATAGTACTGTAAATGCTTTCACCCCACTTAGGAAGATCCAGAATGAAGACCAGTCTTCAGACCTTAGAGGACCAGTATGTATGATTTAGTAGCATCTAGCGGTGACATTGCAGACTGAGACCCATTGACTCAGCCAAGCACAAAGAAGACACTATGAGGGCCGTAAAGTGCGCTAAAAACACAAAAGACCCTATCTAGAGTCAGTGTTTGGTTTGTCCGTCCTGGGCTACTGTAGAAACATGGTGGCCTCCATAGAAGAGGACCGCTCCCTCTGTAGATAAAATGTTAATTCTGAGGTAACGAAAACACAACAATTCCTATTTTCAGGCATTTATGCTGTCACAAACACTGGGCCATACGCCTGTGGCAAAAAAGGCGGGGGACGCCACACAACAAAAGAATTAACAAATCTATTTATTAAGGGAAAAATATTTAACCTAAATTCGTTAATATGTGAACATCAGTAGGGTCAGTGTTGTAAGTGAGTGCAGAACGTGGGAGTGCTATGTGTATGAGTTGCTGTGTTGTAATAACATGACAGAACACAATAAACCATCAACCCAAAACCAGACTGTTCTTCTCAGGGAGGAGAGAGAGAGCACTGAGCTTTCCCAGAGGTTTAAAGGCGCATGGCACACAGCCTCAGGTGTGTCCAGTTTGCTGACGACCCTCTGCCACGCCCACTTAAAGTACCTGCACAGAAAGACAAGCCACACAACCAGGAACCGAAAGACAAGGTGGAGTGGGTCGTCACAATGCACTGATGAAAAACATACCTATGAATATTATATTCCATTTCTGCCAGTAGACCTTCCTAAATCTTACACACTGTAGCTTGCTGTTGAAAGACAAGTTAGTTAGTTTATTTAGACAGGTAATCTCAAAACAATCATAATGAAGGAACATATCTCCCTGCACAGCAGTGTGGCCTTTCAATATATATGGACAACAATGGAGCTCTACGGAACAGAGGAATAAACTACTACTGTACAGTATTCTTATATTTATCTAATCTAAGATTCTTTCCATGAGGTTTTTTTTATTCACGCATCTGACCTGAATGGAACAGAACCTTGATTAGTATCATTGTTAACATGTTTCATGTCAGAAATGGCCGCTGTAAAAAAAAACGTCTTGTGGCAACTTGGAGATGTGTATAAAAGGTCTCGAAAAAGCTAGCAAGTGGAAGTTTGCGTTAAATTTATTTTGTCTTGATTAGAGGCCAGAACTTGAAACACTCATACTAATATATTTTTCCTTCGCCCAGGGACAGTTCCACACTAATATTTGATTCATGTCTAAATCAGTGACTGTACACTGGGGTACTATTTCTAGTAGGTAATGAAAGAGCTAATGGAAGGGAAGAGAGCCCACCTAGGGGTGTTTTCTATATATTTCCAGGTTCAGATCAGTTGAAATAGCAATGTACAATTTAGAAGAAGGTATCTTATCTATTCATTTTTAGCTTCCAGGCACCTGCATACTATATTGAAGCAATCACAAGTTCCGACTTCAATCTGTAGGCCGTCTTAATGAAAGGTGTCGGCTCACATGTTAATTGAAATGTCCAAGACGAAAAGTGTTTTTACCAAATCAAAACCAATTGCTGATACGCACACCAATAAACAGCATTTCAGCGACTTTTACTTCTTATAATTCAAATCACCTACAGCAATCTCTGATGCCCTACTGCTAATTGAAAGCCTGGAATTCAAGAGAAAATGGAAACTGCTGCACAGCTTCATACATCATTCAGTACATCCCAAATCTGTCATGAGTGTTTTCATTAAGCCTGAGATTTTAATGAGTTGAATTTATTCCTCGCTAATGACAGAGAAGGACACTGCATCTTGTGTCTTGTTAATTAGAACTCTATGAAATGGTGCAGATGAAATAGTTTCACCCAGTGAGAGATCCTTCTGGGAAAAGATCGTTTTCAAGTTAATATGTGTAAGTAGTTTGATTAAAGGGTTCTCCAGGAGTTGGAATTCAAAACAAAATGCAACATCCATATATAGAACCAAATGATGAAACGGGATCACTGCTTTATTGACGCCCAGAGGAGCTGAAGATGGTTCGCAGAACTAAGGACACATAGAAAGCTGAATGGTTTTGAAAGAAGCTGCAGAAACAAGAGCTCAGAGGCAGCCAGAACATTTTAAGATGTCTGTTTTTAAACGAGTACTGGAGAACGCAGTTTGTTCAAAGGTCAAAGGGGATTTATGAATTATGCAACAAACTTAGTCCACAACATCAGCAGTAAAGGAAGAAACAGTTTTCCTAAAAATGTTGGACAGTTACACCTCTAAAATAAAAGACCTCACCCGTACCACGCTACGTTTCACCCCCTTTTGTGACATAAAGTTCCTCTCTCACTGCTTTTTATGTCCACATGGTAATAAAAGTTCTTTCTCTCTGACAAGGCTCCAGCTGTGCAGCTGCATCACTCTCAGTATAAGTCCTCTTTGTCTCCCTTTCCAGATTTTTTTCAATCTTTGGACAGGCAGATTTGCAAGTCTCAAGGCAAAAGGGGTCAAAGGCCACAAGCCTATAGAAGCAGCCACCTCAGGGTAGATGGAACATCCTGGTTTCCAGTCCCCCTCGTGGGAAACCAAAGCTTTGTGCTATTCAGTCTTTTTGTCCCTCCTAGACTCAACAGGACATGAGTCTGCATGGTGATAAAAAGTGAGTGTTTCAGTCTAGGAACTAGAGATGTATAATGGATACCATTTTTTCCTTCCCTATACCAATTCCGATACCTGAACTTTGCATATCAGCCAATACTGAGTGCCAATCTGATACATGATATTTGATATTTGTACTGTTAGCATTTTTTAGAGTCATAGACCACGATGTGTTGTTATATTATCTGTGTGTCTTGTGTCTGTTTTGTGTTTTGAACTTGCTTCTTGTTCATTTGTGTGTTGCTGTTTTGTCTTTGGCCCGGACTCCCTTGAAAAAGAGATTTTAATCTCAATGGGACCTTTCCTGATTAAATAAAGGTTTAATAAAAAAAAAACATGTGCGTTAAGAAAGAAAAATATATATTTTTAGTTTTTAACAAGCATATACTCCTAAGCCTGTATGATTGCTATCATTGTTATATGGCATAGCTCAGGTTAAACCCTTTGTCAGATTTAGAGTTGGGTGAGTCATGACTTCTGGGGGGAAAATGGCGAATGGGACACTCCTGGGAAGTAGCAGGGTCCTGTTTCAGGGCTAATAAAATACCTTTACCACCCAATCATGTTTTGAGCATGATTTTTTGACCATCCATGATCGAAAAGTGATCTAGAAACTTGATGCCTCCAGTGCACATCCACTGAGAAATGGCTTTAACAGTGAAGTTAGGAGACATCTTGGTGTCCAGCAGGAAAACTTAGAAATGAACAACATTTGTATATTCGTAGATTCTGGAGTATAATAAAAGTATATGTGTTTGTGTAAAAAACGTATCACACAGACATTATTGTTCCAAGCCTCTTGTATAACTCTTGTATATATGTCTTAATACATGTCTGGAGGGAATCTTAACATATAATTGATTTCATACTGTATGAAAGTATGTGGCTACATTGAACAGAAGGAAAAATATATCAAAAACCTAAAGCTGTATATTTAAAATGCATGCTGAATGACTTAATGAGCTAAAACTTGCAAAAACACTATTATGGCCCTTTAAAGCACACTGCAAGATGATTTTATTTCGCCCAATATTGTATCAATATATTGAATATCATACAAATCACTGCTGCGCAAATCCCATTACTTCCTTCATTACAGTGCTTTTATTCTGGTTACCAGGGTAACACGCTGCCATATTATGGTTAAAGTGGTATATCTTCTGGTTAATTACACCAAGATTGTTTTTCCATTATAGTCGAGGGACCATTTTTAATGGCTACAATTACAGTATTTAAGGTCATGACTATCTATAATTTCACTCCCAACACTAAAACAAACACAGACTAAAAAACAGCTTGATTGACCTTTTTCTCAGACATATTTCCCCCAGTTATCTCCTAAAACAAGTGCCTGTAGGTGCAGCTTAAAACTAGTTTCCCATCATCCTTAAAACCAACACAAGACATACAAAGGCAATCTCAACTACCCAATAAATGATAATGACTTTGTTTTCCAGGCCCCTCTGGCTTGTATCAATCTAATTTAGTATTAAACACTAAATGTGCACTCAGTGTTATTCCATTATTCAACTACATGTACCCTTTTCATCAAGTTCCACTACATATTGATCAGAAAGTAATGTCCTCCCATTGTGCGACAGGATCATTTTAACTGCTCACCAGACCCAAACAATAAACCCTGTGTTCAAACTCATCTATCTGGCCCGAGGCACATTGCATTTGGCACAGAAAAAACATCTATGACAAGAAAAATTCCACAGAAAGACAAAATTCCCTCTCCATCATCTCGGTGTTTGTTTGTAAGCTGCAGCAGTGCACTGGGTCAAACAGTGGAAAAGCAAATCCATAGATGTGAAGCCTGTGAGCTCACAGACAATTGCATAAGCCCATCCATCCCCCAGTAGATTAACCTCCACTGATAACCACAGGCGGGTGACGTCAATGCTGCTCTGCCTCTCTTACCCCTCTCCCCCCCCACCATCAACGCCATTCTCCAGAGCTGGGAGGCTGTCCCATCATCAGGGTGTAACAGAAGGGGAGGTACACGGACCTGTCTTGTCTCTCACAAGACAATAGCATAGCAAAACACTGCACAAGTTAATTACTGTTGCGTCACTGGTGAAAATACAATAACTCAGTGGGCAATAATAGATTCATTAATATTGAGAACCAGGCTTTATTTTCCATTATACTGGAAGTCGACACATGCATGAGTTATAAAGGCACTTTCTCTCTTGTATGTTATCTGATCTAATTTTAGCCTACAGCTGTACTGTTCTGCTGCTTTGCCACTGGGTTAACACCATTATCAGTTAAATAGTAAAACATGGAAATCAATAGGTCTTTTATTTTTACAACAAATCATAGTTAACTTTTAGCTAAACAACCAAACCTTAATTAATTAACAGTAATGCAGTCACGGGTGTTTTGGGTGTGCCCTTGTTTCCATCTTCAAATATATCTCTAATATAGCCACTTAGCAATGAAGGCTTTATGATGTATTTATGCATATTGTTCAAGAGCCCCTATAGTAAAAGGTTATGATTGGAGCTTCTGATATTAACCTGAATATGCCAGAGAATTTAAACAATGTTCTCTACATGCGTCAAGCTAGCTGGGGTTAGTCAGGAAAGGACAGGAAGGGACGCTTGTCGTTCAAAATATTATTTATAAAATAAAATCATACAAGGGCACGTTTGACAAAAGAATAAGTAGGCTAGCTTTTTTTTCAAACGTGATAGTAGGCTACAACAACAAAACGTAACATCAAGATACCACTGAAATGTTAAAGTTAGTTTGGAGTAATTAGCACATGCCTATGTTTGTAATACCGTATAAATAATGGCATTTTTCCTTAGGACATTTTTCCTTTTTTGACTAGAAAAACAAAATGTAAAAAACAGAAGCAAGACTCCCGTGCAGAAGTCAGAACAGCCCATACAGAATATATACATAAGTTAAAATAATAATATAATATAACAATAAAAACATTTAATATGAACACGAATATTTCAAATGGATGTTTTATTAAAATATATAGCATAAAACTCTACCTGCTAGGGACCTTTCTGTACAATTAGCCTGGAAACGAGGCCTTTGTTTTGAAGGCAGCAACCGGAAGACAGTGTCAGTAGGTATGTGTAGCTCAACGCGCAGGTTCAACAGCTCTCACAGTCTTCACAGCGACTCAGCAGAAGCATAAGGGGAACGTTTGAGGACACTTGACAGCTTTCAGAGACTGCTATGACATCTCGCAGGTACAGTCGGCTTTGTTTTTTGAAACTGTCACTTTTGGCGCCGTGATATTAAACAGCCTCTTGAACATTACACTGCAGCGCTCAGACGCTGCACGGGCGAGATTGAACTGAGGCTGGCAGCAAGAAAACAGGGGCGCCTCAACTTTTCTCCCGCTACAGACCCCTGGAACAGCCACTTGTCGCCTCATATTTTAAGTTTCATCCAGAGAAACTCCGTTGTGTATGTTTGTGTCGCGAGTTCTGAATTGGCACTGATTTACCGAACTGCCTTTGCTTTAAGTGTGGCGGTAACAAACAAACAAACAAACAAAACAAAAAGTGGCGACGTTGGAAGCTTTGATAAAAACGTAGCGTTGAATTGGTTCAGATTTGGCAAGCCGCTTCAAAACGTAGTAACAGTGAATTTAAAATCTGATCATGTTGCCATGTTTTACATCAATCTGCATGTTACGCGGTTTGTGTTTATGAGTGGTGTGATTCATTTCTGAGCCGCAGCTATGCCAGATAATGTGAGCACAACTCCTCACACTTTTTCATACAGCGCGCAAGTTTTTCTCCTCACTTTCTCTAATGTAGGGCTGTGGGCTTTTCCCGTCCCTGTCCTGTCTCTTTGTTTCTCTGTGCACAGTGCAGGAAATTGGCTTATAGCTTCCTGTGAATCCAGGCCCCTACACAGAAAGTGTTATGGTAAACTTACAATAACAAATTGAGAAGGGCACTTTAGTAAAAACCCCAGAAAAAACCTCAAGTTTATATATAGGAATATTATCGCAACATCAGCTCCAGGTCTCCACTAATGTATTATTAAGAACCGCTAAAACAATACAAGTGCTGTGCACATTTACTGCAATTAGTACCTGGAGCTGAACAAACTATAACTTTAGAATACTATAAACTATTTAATACCAAAGTAAAAGGACTAATTAATACTAACACTAAATAGTTCTGGCCACTCTAGGAATAGTAATACAATATATAATCCAGATGTGCACCTTTTAAAATCAGTGGCCTGCTTCCCACTGACAGCTTTGGTAAGTGTTGTGTGTATGGCGTATATATTCCTCCTCCCAATGGCTCTGTCTTCTTACTACTTATTAGTAACCACATGTACATCTGTGGACTGGTAATGATTTGTAGATCTCTCTGAAACATTGACCAGCTTAGTGTGTGAGGAGTTCAGAGCTACAGGAGGCTGTGCTGAACACTGTAGGCATGAATGGATACATGTGCTGAATGTAGCCCTCTCCAGCTACTTTCCAGTACACGGTGGGTCAGATAATATTACCTGCTGTATGCATAAGCAACAATAATAGTCAAAATGTTTGTTTTAGGGTCATTTAGTTGAAATGGTGCATTCAAATGAATTGAATCTATGCAAGGTGACCTCTGAAATGTTGACTTCAGCCATCGGCTTGTCTCTTGACCATTTTGGCTGTTGTGGATTCAAGAAAATGCATTGTTGGCAACCTGAGAGTTTACAGTTGATACAACCAGCTTACCACTATATGGGTGGAAAAGATAGCAGATGTGTAGTATTGCTTGCTGTTCTATGTGACCGTTGTGTCCCGAATGCCTTTGGTAGGTAAAGTTGCAATAGTGAAATAATGATGTAGAGGTTAAAAGGCCAGTCTAATGGTTTGAAGGTAATCCAACTTCACAAAACAAAAAGGCACTTATTTCTCCTCTGACAGAACAAAGAGTGTTGAATTCTGGCCTTGTTATTTGGCAAAATAGCGCCTTGCACAATAGGAACTAGCTGGATATGGCTTAGACCTCGGTGCATCAAAGGGAGTTTGGAAACAGTAAAGCTGCCGGGCTGGCTGCTGCATTCAAAGGATATTCAACTTTTTACAACACATATTTCCATAATCATCAACTTAACTGCTTCCTGCTACACCTTAAAGCATGGATGTACTTCCACACAGACCGTACACAGTTGTATTTATAGTGGCACTGTGTGTGTCTCAGCTTTCTGTAACCTATCAAGGAAAATCCAAATCTTAGAAAAAACTTTAAATTCACTTACTTACAAATACTGTATGCGGTTTCGATGACTAAATTGGACTTTGGGTTTAAGCTGTTGCCAGTAGAAACCATCGTAAAAGCGTGTCTACTGATGCCCTCCTATCCAAAATTTCAGTAGGGCCAGTGAGTAAAATGTTTTCACAACTGATAGGAACAGTGGGAAAAACTAAAAATAAGAACAATTGATGCTGTTATTGCTCATTTTATCACCAGAATTCAGTTTCAAGGACATTTCTTCCATTTCTCAGATATGCGTGACGTTTTTCTCACTCATTTACAATAGACACTTGTGAGTTGACAGAGGCCCAAGCGTTCAGTTGCCCCAGGGGCCCGAAACCACCAGCAAGCTCAGATCAGGGATAGAGGAAAACACTGAGACATAGTTAAAAGTTGTTTTCATCTCTGCCAGTTTCCACGGTTTGTCGCTGGTCGAGACATGGATGACTGTTGCTCTGTGGCTGGTTCTGTACTTCCTGAGCTCAAATACCACAGGGGAACAATACTACAGTGCATGCCATCTTGATATGACAGACCCGCTCTCCTGCTGATTGTATCACTCATACTGACCATTTCAGGAAGGATTTTACTTCATCACACTTAACAGGGAGGGCTGGCATTTCCACATATTTTGTCATTATTGCCTTGAGGATTTGTGGCGGTTTAGTCATAAAGTCATAAAGGAACCATTTGTACTGTCCGTCATTGTGATTGTGCCATCACTTTTAACAATGATTAAGCATTGTAATGAGTTCAGCGTAGCACTGTGGGCCCAGAGAAAGCAGCAATGATGAGGATTCACTTTATGTTACTGCTCCCCTTTCATTTTGCCAGTTGATTCTGTGTAGTATTACAAACTTTCCACTATTGGAAACCACCTCTGCCCCCCTTTGTTTAAAGAGGAGACCTCATCTGTCACTGAAACTCATTTGACCAGCTGAGAACAGTGAGTCAGTTTTCTCGATAAGCCGACAGGAAAACAACAGCCCATGTGGAGGAATAAGATAGCGCTGCCAACGTTTCCAGGAGTGCTCTCAACTGTTCCAGATACATGTTTTGCATTTTATTCAGACACAAAACAATGCCGAGAGAATATAGCAAACAAAACATTAACATTTGGTAATTTGGCTCCACATAGTTGTGCTCTTAAATTACTTCGTTCTCAGTTGTGTGGTTAATTATTAAAGGGTAGAGTGCTTAAAAAGGTAGAAAAGACAGGTGTGTGTCAAATATTTGACGTTTAACATATCAGAACTGCACTCCACTTTAATTCAGAGCTGCAGTGATTAGTCAGTTAATCAGTTAGTCAGCTATGAAATTACTTGCCAACTACTTTGATAATCGATTAATCCTTTTGAGTCATTTTTTTAAGATAATGTCCAGATTCTGTAATTAGAGCTTCTCAAATGTGAATATTTTCTGATTTCTTTGGTCCTCTATGACAGGTTGTGGACAAAACATTTGAGGCTTTGAAAGCATTTCACCCTTTTCTGACTTTTCATGGACCAAACAAGTCATCGATTATTGAGAAAATGATCGACAGATTAATTGATAATAAAAATAATGGTGTCTTAGTTACTACTTTGACTGAGCCATGCCAGGTTAGTACTGCCACACCTGCTGTTGTTTCTGGGTCTTCCCTGTATATAACTGATTATTAAAGGCATGCATTTCTCACATCAGTGAGAAGTCTCGCTGTCTTTGAAGCAGAGCATTTAGGAAAAGAGGAACAATGTGATGACCCACTCACTAACATTTACCATTTAACTTCTCTTTTCTGATAAAATTTCTGCACATGCACGTTTGACACAGAAAGATGGTATGTGTTGCATGCTATTTCTCTTCATCAAGAGTGTCAACACTTTCAGTGGTTCAAATGACATAGAAAGGTCATCTTAAATATAGACTTAACTGACAGCCCAAACACAATATCTTCATTTTTCGATGACTTGAGATGCAGAAAAGCAACATCTCCGCATTAGTTATTTCCAGTATGTGGGTTTTAAACATAAACTACACTGAAACCAGTATGCCCTTAATTTTGCATATTAAAATGAGATACGGAAAATCTTAGTGAAGTACATTTGCTTTCAGTAATAAGATTGCGATCTGTAACATTTTCCTGTGATCAGTGAAACTGGACCAAATGCCTATCTGAACCACATCTCTAATGTGCTGTCCCTTATGAGCTGTAGAATCCGGTTTGTCAAAGACGCCTGTTTTTAATGCTTTTTGAATGGAAAGAGAGGGCATATAAACCATGTTGCTTTGCTAAATGAAATCGGAGTGATGTTGGTCTTTCATTTTTACAACTAATCATATTAATGTTAAACATACTGTATTTCTGCCAGTACATTATTTAATCCAAATTGAAAAAGGGATTATTTCATTATTCTAATCTCTTGCTCTCTGATAAATTTCCAAGTTTTTGCATAGAGGTCAAGCAAAATTGCAAATAACTACATTTTTAAATATTTGTGTTTAGTACAGAAAATGTGCCATGTCAAAATGATGAAGACTTTCTAAGCGATAACTTTGTATTTGCAGTTTGTTTCTTAATCTGTGTTTTGCCGGTATGTATTAACTAGCTGCTTTCCAGACAGTTTGATTTCCATGTTGTCTGCTGAAAAAAGGTTGGATGTAAAACATAGTAGTTATTTATTAACCAATAATTCCCAGAGCTACTTTTACTCTGTGTTTGTCAAGTACTGTTTACTCTTTGTAAATACAAAAAGCCACAAACTATGAATACCCTGTGCTTTTAGGTTGTTGGTTTTTGCACAATTAAAGAAGAGTAACTGCCCTAAAAACCTTTAACCATTTGTTATATCACCACTAGCATTTAGTTTGTCTGCCTCTGGTGGGTTACATACAGTATGTGCAAGTGCTGAAAACAAACTGCATGCATGTGCGCAACATTGGTTTACAGTTAGTCATTTAACTAATTCTACATTCTAAGGTGGGACTGCCTGGTGCTA